CGGCTTCCGTACCTACTGACTGGAAAATAGCTAACGTGACACCAATATTTAAAAAGGGCTCTAGAGGTGATCCTGGCAATTATAGACCGGTAAGTCTAACGTCAGAACCGGGCAAATTAGTCCAAACAATAGTTAAGAATAAAATTGTTAGGCACATAGAAGGACATAATTTGTTGGGCAAAAGTCAACATGGTTTCTGTAAACGGAAATCATGTCTTACTAATCTATTAGAGTTCTTTGAAGGGGTTAACAAACATGCGGACAAGGGGGATCCAGTAGATCTAGTATACTTAGATTTTCAGAAAGCATTGACAGAGTCCCTCACCAAAGGCTCTTGTGTAAATTACATTGTCATGGGATAAGAGGGAAGGTCCTTTCATGGATTGAGAACTGGTTAAAAGACAGGAAACAAAGGGTAGGAATAAATGGTAAATTTTCAGAATGGAGAGGGGTAACTAGTGGTGTCCCCCAAGGGTCAGTCCTAGGACCAATCCTGTTCAACTTATTCATAAATGATCTGGAGAAAGGGGTAAGCAGTGAGGTATTAAAGTTTGCAGATGATACTAAACTGTTCAAGATAGTAAAAACAGTTTTGTGAGATCTTTTGAAGTTCTTCACAGTCTGCTTCTAATTGATTGGGCAACAAAATGGCAAATGAAGTTTAATGTGGATAAGTGTAAAGTAATGCACATTGGAAAAAATAACCCCAACTATACATATAGTATGATGGGGGCTAATTTGGCTACGACATATCAGGAAAGAGATTTTGGAGTTATCGTGTATAGTTCTCTGGAAACGTTCACACAGTGTGCTGCGGTGGTCAAAAAGACAAATAGAATGTTAGGAATTATTAAGAAAGGGATAGAAAATAATACAGAATATCTTACTGCCCCTGTATAAAACTATGGTATGCCCACATCTTGAGTACTGTGTACAGATGTAGTCTCCTCACCTCAAAAAAGATATTTTGGCCTTGGAAAGGGTTCAGAAAAGGGCAACTAAAATGATTGGGGTTTGGAACAGGTCCCATATGGAGAGAGGCTAAAGCGACTGCGTTTTTGCAGTTTGGAAAAGATACTGGGGGGATACGATAGAGGTATGTAAAATCATGAGTGGTGTGGAGAGGGCGAATAAAGAAAAGTTATTCATTAGTTCCCATAATATAAGGAACTAAAGAACACCAAATGATATTAATGGGTAGCAGGTTTAAAACTAATAAAAAAGTTCCTCTTCACATAGTCAACCTGTGGAACTCCTTGCTAGAGGAGGATGTGAAGGCTAGGACTATAACAGAGTTTAAAGAGAAGCTAGATAAATTCATGGAGGTTAGGTCCATAAAAGGCTATTAGCTGGCGGATAGGAATGGTGTCCCTGTCCTCTGTTTGTCAGAGGCTGGAGATGGATGGTATGAGACAAATCACTTGATCATTGTCTTCAATCCACCCCCTCCGGGGCACCTGGTGCTGGCCACTGTTGGCAGACGGGCTACTGGGCTAGATGGACCTTTGGTCTGACCCAGTACGGCCATTCTTATGTTATGTTCTTATGTTAAACCAAAACAACACCCCCCCTCCAAAAAATATAATGGAAAGGGGAAATGAGCAGAGGCCTAGACATGACCATAGTTCATGTCTATCAACAAGAGGTGTGGGAAAAGAGAATTCTCAAGGGCAGATTCTATGAAATTGGTGGGAAAAGACAAGAGACAACTCTCCAAAGAACATAGAAGGAATTTTTCTGCATTTTTTGGACTGAACTTCAATTATCCACTGTAATCTTTGCTGGGGGTGTGTGGCGGCAGGAGGAGTTTAAAGGATTGATGTCTACAGGAATCTATACAAGTAGTTCTCAATCAGGGTACATCTACACATACCCCTGGGGGTACACAATCTTTCAGAGGATCCATCAACTTATCTGAATATTTGCAAAATTTTACAAAAGGCTACATAAAAGCACTACAAGTTAGCACGAACTAAAATTTCATACAACTTATTTATACTGCTCTGTATACCATACAATTAAATGCAAGTACCATGTTTATATTCCAAAGTGTTATGAGTGAAATATGGGGAAACAAGGGACTTTTCTGCTCCCTCTTTTACTCCCTCTCTCTGAGAAGGGCTTATAGCCATCATAGGAGTTGGAAGCCAGCCATATATAGCTGCCAATTTAATGTATATATCCCCGACTGCTCTGTGTAATGTGACTGGTCTAATGATGGAACGTAGAACCGTTGTGCCTCTCCTAGTGCAGGCCCTTCGGGTGCATTTTCTAATGCCAAAACATTTGCATTATAGAGAACACTTGTGTTTAGGTGCATTCCTTTGATGAATCCATTGCAGATCCATTTTCTTGGCTGCACCCATCCTAACCTGAGCAGCTATTTTGCAAAGACACTCCAACTGGCACCTCTCTTGAAAATGCACTGTTGACACCAACACCATTAACCTGTTTTTGAATGAACTACCACCAAACACAGCAGTGCAACAGTGAAAGTTAAAGCCAATGTGCTAGGAAACCAAAGCAAGAGAGACAAACAATCCATCAATGTTTTATTAAAATTTTTATTCACACAATGTTTCTTTAGGCAGAGTCTGACCCTGGGGAACACAAGTAGAAAGTTGGGATTGCATTTGTTTTCTCCTCTTACTAACAACCTCCATTTGTGCAGCTGCTCCCTGGGGCAATCCTCTGGCAGTTCCAAGATAGGTGTTTGTTTCCAGCTCCAGCTGCCACAGCAAACAAGTTACCGTCTTAATAAATTATTAATTTTTGATTGAAGTTTGTTTGGCAATACACACTTCAGTTCATTTACATGCTGATAGAAGAGCAAATTAGAGAGTGTTTCCTCCACCGTTTGCTGACTCACGCAGGAGATAAACAACAGCAAGCTGATGAAGCTCTACTTAATTAGTTCTTGATTTTCACACCATGACTATTAAAAAATCCCCAGAATGATCTCGGTAACATCTGGGCCAGTCATTTACTGCATGTGTCTCTGTAGATTGTGACAATTGGAATAAGAGGACACCATGAAAATCTCAATATCAGTACCTATCATATCTTAAAAATGAGGGATGCCATTTTAAAGACATATGACAGACCCCAATGACAGATGGATGCCATTTTTTTTTCTATTTTAGGATACCCATTGGCTGTGGTCAAAAATTTCAGCCTATTGAAGAAAGGGAAAAGAATCCTCACAGCCACAATGACAATGTAACACTGAGCTAAAACCTGACCTGCAAGCAACAAGTTGGTCATCCTAGTTTTAGGTAACTGACACTGTGTTTCACTCTGCAAGCTTCATATCCAGCCCTGAGCAGGCTCTTCCAATGACCCTCACAGGTAACGTCTTAAGAACATCCCTGTATTTCCTGCTTCTACCCCTCCAAATTTGCTTAATCACCCCTTTCCCATTTATTGTTGACCAAGACACAGTGCTTTAATTGTCTGGCAGTCACAGTGCAGGAAAGCAGGTTAGTAAATCAACTCACTGCAAAGGGCTAAGCTGGAAGCCAGAGAGAAAGTAAACTGCAAGCTCTTTTCACTAATTTCATTTCATGGTCAAATCACAATTTTAAACAAAAACCCACAACCAAATGAGAATGAGCAACTGTAAATTAAAATCCCAATCCCACCCAACATAGCTGAGTTTTCCTGCACCATCAAGAGTCATGGCTTATGTTTCAAACCAGAAGAAAGAACAGAATCATGAGACTGTACAAGCCACACCATCATTCTTCTATCCTCCTTGACTAAGTTATCTTCAGTTTCACAGTAAATGCCAATGCACACTAACAAAGCTTAATTCTGTTTTTCACTCATTCCAAGTGGTACATTACTCCACAAGCAGCTCCACTGAAATCAGTAAGACTACTCACAGAATAAGGTATTACTGAGTCAGGGTGGCAGAAGAGGTCCGTCAAAGATGGATAAAGAAGAGCGAACACTCCAACCCAGACTCACTATAAGTTAGTTCATGCTGAAGCAGTTCTGCTCTGATCAGAGCTAGGAGGAACAGTTCACACCCAGTAGGAAAGAAGTTACTATAAATAAAGCTTGCCTTCGAAAAGTGAATTCAGTGCTTGTGAAAGTGGAATGATAGCTACTAGTTTAAAGTAGGGGTGTTAAAATGCACTTAATTATGTAACTGTGTAACCAAAAATTTCAGTGGAGGGCGGTGGGAGCCAGTGTGTGCAAGAAGCTGGTTTAAAGTCAGCTCCCCAAGCACACTGGCTCCTGCTCCCCGTCCCCGCACTGCTGTCTTTGATGCAGGCTGCATGCTACCATGCACATTAACTAATGAATCCAGGCTCATTGTTTAACCGTGTAAATGGTTAAACTTTCACATCCCTTGTTTAAAGTCAGGTATGCTGCCAATAGAATTTTTTGTAATCCTTCACAGCTGTCAACACACTTCCATCCTTTCCTGTAGCACCCATTACTATTCCAGTACTAAGTCTACCTGTTTAGCAGGTTTGTGGCATGGATGATGGTCCAGAGGGGAACTAGAACAAGAACAGACACTTTCACTTACGCTCTAGTCCCAGTGTGAGTCCAGCTCCCCTGAAGTAAAAGGCTAATGCCTGATGATACCTAACATTAACTGAATCTTCACTTCCCCAAGACAGTTTGTGTAAACACTCCTACCTTGAATAAAACCAATTGCATTTTCAAAGTAATCTCCTCTACTTATAGATGTTAGATTAGCTGATGCACCTGCTGCCGTAGCCAGAATACTGAGTTAGAATTAAAATAAAAAGTATCTTGCTGCATTTCATTAGGGTCCACACCTGCAACAGAAAGGACAATCTGCAATTGCCAGCCACACCATGGCAAAGCCAAAAAGATTCTTATTCCTTAAAGTGGCAATCTCAACAAATTTAAACAAAGAAATAAACACATTGTAGGAGGACCAAGAAGCACAGAAATGGAGATCAAATTGCTTCTCTGTGTCTTGTATGATCTAAAGAGCAGCTTACATAAGCATTCCCCAACCTTACTATTTTAGGTGGAAGTTTGAGTAAAATTATTCATCTTTTTTGTGTATCATATTAGCTACATACATCAAACTGATGCAAGATCAGTATATGGGGGCATGTACTGAAAAAAATCATCTATTGTTCTGGAGCCCTGAATTTAAATAACCAATTTATCAGAAAGGATGAATTTTGTAGTCTCCAGCTAATCTATAATAGTTTGAAATATCTGCTAGACGATGACAAGACCAAAGAGGAATCCTACAAATCAAATTTGAGGTGCATGGACAAATGCACAGGAAAATGTGCATAGCACTCCTCCATCATACCCTCTTAGACAGGACCTATTTTTCATGAACATCAAGTGTGCCATACAAAATAAATGCCCTCAAACTAACACAAGAATGGTAGAATTCCATGACAACCGCCAAAAAGTCAGTATATCACAGCATGAATTATAGCGGAGCAGTTGGGAAAAGGAAGGCCAACTGAAGCTGCTCTCAGCGTAAGAACTCCACCACAAAAGCAAATGTCTGGCCTTCTACCGATTTTATCCTGCTTCTCAGCTAAGATAATTTGGTTAATATGGACAGTCATGGGGATATCTGCTCTGCTCAGACTGCTATATTCCCTATGTACAGAAAGCAGTAATGGTCCATGTTCTGGAGGAGCATATATTAATTGGCAGGCATAGGATAGACCTTGGTACTGTAAAAAAATCCTGTCGTCTCCTCACCTTCCAACTGCATGGATGAACTTTCACTAGCACTTCAATGATAACACTGAAGCATCATCACATATGAAGCAGACCCCTCTTTCCAGCATCTTAGTAACAAAAAGACAGCTGGAGAGCAAATACACCATCTCTCACTCTTAATGGTGTTGGCAAGAACATTCTATCCCACATGGGGGCATTAGGGGGTACTTACTATTTTATTTACCACTTCCTCTTTTTTTTTTTTTTTTTTTAAAAGAGGCAGTAAAATGCCTAATCAGCTCATAGCTGATTATATACAACCCTGAATAGGATTGAAACCTCCTAATAGCATATAGAGTGGGTGGCTGAGGAACGAGAAAGGGGAGAGGACTGGGGATATTCCATCTCCTTTGTCCCCTCTAGAACCAGCCCACATACTAATCTCTGAATTCCACACACTTTTTCCATTAACACCAGCAGTTGTATTTTCCCAGTGCAACATTCACAGGCAGCAATGGACACCATAATGGCGAAGCTGCCATTGTGGCTACAGGGCTGTCCAAGGGCGCTCAAATTCTCTGCATTCTCGCTCTGCTGTTAGCCAAAGACAGACCTCCACCACCACCATCTTTTTCCCTGGGTCATGAGCTTTCCCTTCATTTCCAGTCCATCCTGGGTACAGCCATTTAGATCCGATTGTGCTGTTTTTCTATCTTTTTTTTTTTTTTAAGTTTCATCTGGCTTCCATGACAGTTACAAATGGGAGAGTGTCATCCTGTCTTCCACCAGCACAATGTCCGGCCCAAATTGGTCTGTGCACTGTTTTACTGTAGCCAGGATGCTCAGGAGCCGCTGGTCCATGGCATCCAAATGAGGGTCAGAAAGCACTGGTGAGATGGGGTCATGAGACATGGCAGTCTTTAAGGCAGACTTCAGCACTCCATTCTTCAGGTAGTTCAGTCTGTTCCAGGTGGAAACCCGGATGCTGGAAAAGAAAGATGAGGAAAAGTGATTTAATAGGTGATTTAGCACTCCTGACAAATGACATGGAAGAGCACAGATAAGTTGGTCTTAAGGAGTTCCAGACAGAGCTGGAGAATGGAATGGAGCGAAAGGTCTAGCTGCTAATCCAAAACCAGGCTTGTAGGGAGCTCAGCATTACTCCAGTTCGAAATTTGAAAATCAATCAAGGACGAGAGAAGTCAGCTTATTCTTCTTACCAAGACAATGTACATAGCAATGTTCTTTCTACTTTGCCATTTAATCTTGTCACACTATCACATATGAATGGTTTTCTTCTGGGGAATCTCCTGGGAATTCTCCCATCAAAGCTGCCATCTTGTAGCAATTTACCATAGCTGATGTCCTGACTCACTTTGCTCCTTTGGAATACATCATCCTCACAAAGCTTTGAGGGAGGGTGATGTTACCCAGGATACAAGGTACTCCCTCTCCTCAGCGGATGCTGTGAATTCTGTAGTCAGAACTACAACAGATTTTAGCACATTCACCTGGCTACCACAGACCATTCTGTTTACTGTCCTCCCTGCCTAGAGGCATGAGCTGTCTATGGAGCACCTGGGCTCAGTGAGAACGGAGATGAGAAGTGCTCTTGACTCTTCTGCAAGAACTACCCCTGGAAGCCTGTTCTCTATGACTGTGTGTGGCGGAACTTGAAGCAAAGGATACACTCCAAAGAAGCCACACAAAACAAGAAAAAGAAAACATTTTAAAAATGATTAGGGAAAGCTAAGGACATTTTTAAATAATTTTTAACATGTTTCTGTTTACTTCATGCTGCTGTTGAAATTTCAGTTTTCTGCCCACTTTAGTATGCTACAGAAACCAAAGCTGGTATTACAAAAGAATGAAGATCATGTGTGCGGTAGTATCTAGAGAGCTGTACTTTCAGTCTAAGGAGCTGAACTTGCGTACTCTGCAATGCTCCTGGTTTCCAGAGACTCCAAAGAATCCAGGCTAACTGAATCCTCGAGGGGCAGCTCAAGGAACTCTCAATAGACTGGCTCATTTTCAAAACTGAAGTGATCTTTATTTCTCTGTTTGCATTGCCCTGATGTAGCACAGTCATGCAAGCTACTGTACCAATTTCCTTTTTAAATTTTTTTGGGGGAGGGAGTGAGACAGAGGTTATGTGCTCGTGCAACATACAGCCTATTTGGTAACCAGACATGAAAAGCAGAGCCCGTAAAAGCAAGGGCTTGCCCCCTCAGGTAAACGTGGGCCCACAAAACCTATAAATCAACAGACTGCAGGGTACAAAAAATGAAAAAAGCAGGATGAGGGTGCAGGTGACAGGGACAAAATTAGCGATTCAAAGGGGGACCATGAACAGAGAACCCTAGACAATACCCTCTGCTCTGAGGAGTCAGTGGATTGCCTGAAGAACTCTGCCTAGATGCATGCATAGACAAGAGACAAAAGACCACCTCAGACAGACAACACCCTTTCCCTTTCACAGCATAAATGACTAGCAGTTTTGAAGGCTGAAGTCCTCTATATCTCTCAAAGCAAGGAAGGAACACACAGGTAACAGCAGTGCAAGCTTCTACGTGCTGTCTTGCAAGTGTACCTCAGCCCTCAGAAGGGACATGAGGCATAAGAGTAGTGGAGTTTCCAATCTGTGGCTTCGGTCAGGGAGAGTTCTTAATGGCGATGCAAACAGCAGAAACTGGCCAGAGACCAAATCATTTCCTATAAGCCACTGAACTGCTGTAGATGTCATTACTGAAGAAAGGTAAATTTGAACCAGTGACCTAAAAGTGAAAGACTCCATTTACCATGACCAATGCTCTGAGTCATCCATACTCTTATTACTATAATAAAAATGTGTTTTTTTACTTCCTGAGCACTCTTACAGTACATCAAGCATGAAAACAGAGATGTTCTGTGCCTAACCTGCATGCCTCCAGGCTGTGACAGGACTTCTTTACTATGATTTTCAGTGTGCTCCTAATTGCATACAAGTAAACACAATGGCTTCTCTTGGACTTACTTACATGCAGCACTGATAAAGAGGAGCTAGGATGCTTCTCTCATCCAGGGAAGGGTTTCCAAAACTGAAAAACAAGTTAGAAGCAGATGAGCAAGCTGAACACGCAGCACCTTTTCCGACCTCAGCAGATTCTGGTGGGAATTTGAAATCAATAACTAAATAATTCCATGCTCCAGCAACTCAAAACAGTTAAGCTAAAATACTCAAAGCCCATGAGCAATTAGACATATAACTCCCAACAGTTTCTTCTAATTACCCAACCACTAGCAGCAACTTCAGCTTTTATAGATCTTTACCTTACCAAGACATCTGCAGGAACTTTAAAAACAAACTGTGTAAATGGAGCCCACATCACTAAGCTAAGGGGGAAAGCAGGTGGGATATCAGGTTAGAGTGAGACTATCAGCTCCCTGACATTCCTGGACAGGGAATAAATTGAGGAACAGCCATCTGATGCTTGTATATCTCCAGGTTGGCCAATCTTGAGCTGAAGGCCAAGGATATAAAAAGCTGGTCAATTCCAACCCATCTAAACCTCAGTCACTTGTTCAGCTGGAAAACTGTCCAAAGAACTTGAAAGTATATTTTAGGCTCCATTTAAATAGATGCCAAATAAACATTCACAGAAATTATTTTTCAATCACTTATACATTTAATTATTTATTCACAAACCTAACAGAATACCTGCTCCTTAACAAAGGCAATTTACATACAAAATCTAGAGCTATTTTATTAAGCTGTGTTACTAAACATAAAAAAAGCTTTACAACAGAGTATTTTTTCAAACTCCAGTAACTCAAAGACAGCTAAAGGGACTTTACTCAAAATGTTCAAAGAAATTCACTTCTGGGGCTCAGATGCCCCCAGACGAAAATGTTTCAGAAGGTACGAGCATGTGAACACAGATGGTTATAACAAAAGCCCTGACATACCCACAACTGTCCAGTTGTAACACTCTCCCAGTCCAATGCCAAGACATTTAAAAAAGTCACCATTTTTACAGGATCCACCAAAGGCAATCTGAGAACCGCAGTAATTAACTAATACTCCTAAAATGGAATACCTTCCTGCTGGCATCGTGGAAGGAGTCAGTGATGCATAAGTATTAATAACTCTTTAAGGCTGTGTCTACACTGGGACACTTATTCCGGAAAATCAGCCGCTTTTCCGGAATAAGCTGTGAGCTGTCTACACTGGCCCTTGAATTTCCGAAAAAGCAACGATGCTCTACTGTACAAAATCAGCCGCTATTCCAGAAAAACTATTCTGCTCCCGCTCAGGCATAAGTCCTTATTCCGGAACACTGTTCTGGAAAAGGGCCAGTGTAGACAGCCCAGTAGTCTTTTCCGGAAAAAAGCCCCAATCGCGAAAATGGTGATCGGGGCTCTTTTCCGGAAAAGCGTGTCTACACTGGCCACAGACGCTTTTCCGGAAAAAGGGCTTTTCCGGAAAAGCAGCCTGCCAATGTAGATGCTCCTTTTCCGGAAAAACTGAAAACGGAATAGTATTCCGTTTTAAGCAGTTCTGGAAATTCATGCCAGAGTAGACACAGCCTAACTGAGCCATGTTTATTTCAAATAGATGAGAAATATTCACAATAAGAAAAGGAAGCAGGAAAACCCATTACTGTACTTAAAAGAAAGGCCAAAAGTAACAAGAAATAAATGGTATTTTCAAGTGTGCGCACAGAAGAGAAAAACAGAGACTTTGTGGCAGATTATGTGTGTGTGAAAGACAGACAGACACAGTATGTGTGTTTATGTAGGCAGCTGCTGGGTGAAATTCTGAGAGACACCATGCACGATCTCTGAGGAATGGAAAGTTCTCCCTGCTCTGTTGTCTCACCCCTCCCCAGCTCTGCAGAAATGGGGATATGGGAGTGAGAGCAAGAGAGAACATACATGCATTAGCTGCTGGAGAAATGTTAAAAGCAGTGCACTGCCTCTGAGACAGGCACCCATCTCAGACACCATTCATGCTTCAGACTGGAGCAGCTCTGCTGTGTGTGACCCTCTCCTTGACCCCTTCGCTGCAGAGATGGGATACAGGGGCAAGAGGGTACCATATCAGCACTCCAGTCTCCTGCACCCCTAGCCCCCTGCTCTGCACAACTAGCAGGACAGTCCTGGGAGCATCTTGGCTGCAGAATGGAGCAAGGTGGGGGGAAGCTGAACACACACTACCAGCTGTAAGCCCTGCATGCTCTGCTAATCAGCTGGGTAAGCCAGACAGAAATGTTGGGCAGGCCAGATATGGCCTGTGAGTTGTATTTTGTCCTCCCCTGACCTATGTGGTTTGATAACTCACTCTGTTCTTTTTCTTTCAACCAATTTGTCCAGTACTGAATTTAGACTTTTATTGGCCTGCAATTGCCAAAAATCACCTCTGAAGCCCTTTTTAAAAAATTGGCATCCATCAGCTATCCTCCAGTCATATACAGGCAGTCCCCGACTTACGCGGATCCGACTTATGTCGGATCCGCACTTACGAATGGGGCTCTCTCGCCCCGGAGCTCGCAGGCAGCGATCCGCCACCTCGACCTCCAGGGCAAGAAAAGCTGCTCCCGGCGCCCCTGGTCTGCTGGAGACCGTCTCCAGCAGACCAGGGGCACCGGGCGGGTTTCCGCGCTTCTGAGGCTTTGCCAGAGCAAAGCCTCAGAGGCGCGGCACCCCGCTGCCTCTGCGGCTCTGCTCCCCGTGTCCCTGGTCTGCTGGGGGGGGGGGGCGAGCTCCCCCCCCACCCAACACGAGGTTTGTTTTTGTCGCCCGGGCC